GAATTAGAAAGCTGCTGATGCTACAAGACCTGCCACATACACGACTAAATTCCCATACACACAAGTGCTGTAAGTTTAATCAGGACTAGGTGAGAAGCCTGGCAAGGTCGATGCTTCAAATGCCTTTTGTGTAAAAAGACAATTTCCATTTTATATTACCAACCATCACAAAAAAGAAAAACCACAGAACACTGGGAATGAAAGGATCTTTTTTTGTAGAGTGTTCCAGAATAATCTGAAACACAGTTATTAAAATGTCACCAAAGGCTTTTTGCAATACACCTGCAACTCTTGAGAAATGAAGGTTTAATTATATGCACCCATCAGCAGCTTGATCCCCAGGTATCTTCAACAAAGCAGCAGCAAATGTGTTCTAACCCATCTTCTGGTCTCCCACAGCCCCGGAACAACTGAAGAAGCCCCTCCACACACAGCACTGGAAGCAGCGCAAGGGTTTCCTGGTCACTGAATCCAGAAGGCAGTGCAGTAGCAAGGAGGAACTGAAACACTGCACCTTCCAGATCCATGCTCTTCTGCTGGGGTAGGGGTGGAGGGACACAAATGTCCAATACACAGCCCATGGAAACTCACACTAGTTGGAAGATCTGCTGGGGAGGGTTTTTCAGTTGATTTACAGCCAGTTCAGACAGCAACATTCATTTTTACGATCAGCTCAGTTTGAAGAATAGTTCTATGTGATGGTTACATGTAAGGATGTGGAAATGCAGAAGCTAGCTAATGGAAAAGCCCCAGCAAATGCAGCTGGGGACAGTTTAAACCATTCACTTTTGGCCAAAAATAATCAGCTAAGAAAGGCAACTCTCAACAGCAGAGGAGGCAGAAGGGATCATGTGCCTGCCTGTCTGAAAAAGAAATGGGGCAGACATCTCAGGACAGTAATAGTTTAAAACACAGGAGTGAGATCCACAAAACTTGCCAGTGCCATGCATTAGAGGAACTGAACTTGGGTTGCCCAGGCAAGGTTTTTTGACCCAAAAGAAAGGTGCAGCATTACATACTGCCCTCCCAGACCTAAGGCACTTAACCTAAGCAGCTCACACACTGCAGTGGGTCCATGCATGTTTGGTTAGTTCTCAGCTCTGATCAGTCTCTAGGTTGGAAGATCTGGAGTTAAACAAAGGTGGAAGTTCTGCAACAAGGAAAAACATTAAAAAATACACCATTGACAAGGAATATACCAGAGAACAGGATGGCCCAGAAACGTATTTATACTATGAAAATTAGCACTGGTGACAAATCAAAAAGCAAATGTAACCAAGATCACTGTCACAGATCAAAAGCTGCAGGAGACAAGGCTTGGATCAAGGTTTCTGGAATGCTTTATCAGTATCATCCCTTCACTTAGTTTAAAAGATTTTGGGATAGCAGCACTGTCTATTCAGAGACTAGTATTTCAAGGGCATGAGAAGAGAACCCCGACACTCCACAAAGCATATGACTATCCTGTCATCTTGTTCTACAGACCAGATGCCATATTCAAACCCACTGAATTACAGACTGGTATTTCCAGGGGACTGACATCTCTGCCCCCACCTGCACTAGACACCCAAAATAACCAGTGGAGACTCTATGCATGGATTCAACTCATTCCTTTAGGTGTTTTTAGACTATCATCCCACCTTCCTGAGCAACGTACACCCCCACCACCTGTGAGAAAGAGCATTTAATACACCAGTAAGGAGGCAAGACCCCCACAAAGTATGGGAAAACAGTGTTCCAAACCAGCATCCTTTCATTCAACATGGCCAGTGGAAAAACTCTCACCTGGCAGTAAAGGACTTCCTTCTCCTCTGTTCATGGACAACAGTCAATAAACAATTCAGTGGTCACAGGACAAACACTGCTGGTACATAACAGTGACTATACAGTGGACATCTTAAACACTTTAAGTGCTTTAGATATCAATAGTGAAATACAAGAGAGAGCCCTCAGGCTTACTCCTATCAGGCACCAGTCTGCACACACGAAGTCCCAGCAGATCAAGAAATACCAGTCAGAAAGATCATCCGATCAAACAGTGTTACAGGGGAAAAGCCCTTGCAAAGGTATTTTGAGTTGTTTATTTGAACTAACCCAAGCTACAGATCAAAGTGGTGAAGAATGACAGTTTATACCTAGTAGGGTCTTTATATGTCCTTTGGGACAGTAGCTATATTTGACACTGTCCTTAACACATTAAGCTACTTATGGAAAAACATAACCTTTGGGTGTGATTACATCCACGAAACTACTTCAGACAATCAAAGCACGAAGCACAGCTCAGCAGTTTCTGAGCGTCAGCGCTGGAAGCATGAAACATGTTAAAGCAAATGCTGTCCCTCAGCAGGAGGGCACAGAACTCAACCAGTGACCTGCTTTCACAAACAGCTTCCACTCAAGGCAGCAGAGGTGACCTGAGAGAACAGTCTTCAAGAGTCTATTTCAAATTCCTTGCATCAGCAACCATGTAGGAACTTACTCTCAGCAGAAAGCCCCAGTAAATCCACCTACAGTTATCAGCAACAACTCATCTTTCCTTAACATAAACAGCCACGTGGCTCTGCTCTGCAAAGTGCTGACCGCAAACTAGTCACAGAAACAGAATTTCAGCTCAAGAACAGTATCATGCTACCCAGAGAAATGCTACCTTGGCTCTGGAGCTAGCTCACATCCACCCAATTCAAGGCAATATGAGGCTGCTGAATGCTATTTTTCAGGTAGACTTCTCTCACATTCGTGTGGTCTCTCAAAACACAGCAGTTGAGGCACACGACTTTCTGTGACCTTTCCTTTTCTCTCCCATTATTTTAGTGACGAGCATCAGGCATTTATCCAGAAATACAGTTCACTTCCATACTTCACTGGGGAAAACGATGCACAATAACGATGACCGGGACTACGGTATCCTCAGGAAGGCATTTCTGATGGTCTGCACACTCCTCACCCATCTAAAACTCCAGTCAATGGAAAGCTTTTTGTGTACATCCTCAAGTGACCACAGAACCTTACAAAACACACCCTCTCACACAGTATCCAGTACCCAGGACCCGGCACCAGCATTAGCTCATAAATAATGGCAAGTGGAATACTCGCCCCTCCAGCAAAGCAATACAAGGAAGCTGGACTGCTGTCATTGGAGAGGCACATGAAAAATAGACAGTGACATTGCCACTTGCTTGCAACACACAAACTGTATCAGATGGTACCAATCTGGAGTTGCTGGAATACTAGTGAACTAAAATCTGTACTCAAGCAAGAACCTGTCTGGCCAAAGCCACAAGCTCTTTAGTAAGTTCATAGACAGTCCTCTGGAAGCAATTTAATCTAAACCAACATGCTGTAGTATTTGAAGGCACGATGCCAAATTTAAACTATTCTAATTGCTCCTCGTGGCAGGTACACCGGCTTCTTTAGAACGCAATACAGCAGTAACTTCCCATATTCCTTAACTCCCAGTTCCCGAACAGTCAATAAATATTTCTACCTTCAGCCTAGAAATGCAGGAATATGTAAAAGCTTCAAGAACTGCTCAGCTATTAAGTTACATCCAAAATTAGAATCCAATTGGAAAATACAGCTAAATGTTACTAAAGGCGCGCTATCCTGGGATGATTTTATGACTCAATCAACACAGTCCTCGAACATCTGAGTCTCAACATCCTCAATCCATCGCCATAAAAATAAACGGCTATATGGGACATCAACTGTCTGCTCGGAGAATTTCAAGGAACCCAGAACCTCATTCAGAGGAACCGAAGTCCCAAAGCTAATCCACCCTTCAATTAGTTATAAACGCGGCTGGGCTTGTTTATAGCAGGAAAAAGAAGAAAATCAAAGCTGTTCCGTTCCAGCAGCAGCTCTTTACCCCGTGTAATATTCAGCTTGTTACCATAAGCTTTTACTTTCATTGCAATAAGTGACGCTTTCGGAGCTGCCTTAACCGTATCATGACAGCACAGCGCGCCGATTCACCCGCGATACCCCTCACACGCCAAGCGGGGCCTGCGGAAGGCCAGGACCAGCGGCGAAGGGAAGAACCGGTCCCGGTGCGGAGCAGCCGAGCCGAGCCGGGCCGGGCTCCCCCGCCGAGGGATGGCGGCCCCACTCGGGGGTCTCTCCCGAGAATCCCGGCAGCGGCGCCATTTTAGGAGGCGATGAAAAGGCGGGAGGCGGAGCCAGGTCCCAGCGCAGCGGGAGGGGGCGCGGATCCGCCCGCGGAGGGACCGCGGCTCGCCGTGCTCCCCGGCGCGCTCCCCCCCCACCCCGCCGCCCGAGAGGCCGCGGCCCGCCAGGCCCGCTCACCCCCAGCGCCTTCCCCGGCTCCGCGGCCGCTCGCCTTCCCGCCGAGAGGCCGCGGCGGCCCCGGCACGGAGCGCCGCCTCCCGTCAGCGACCAGCCCCTGAGTCCCTGTGCCGCGGCCCCAGCGCCGGCCGCTCCTCACCTTCTCACAGAGGCTCTTCACCTGTCCCTCGGAGAGCTGCTTGCACTCGTTGAGCTGCTCCACCCACTGGTCGAGCTCCTTGGTGAAGACCTTCTCCTCCATCCCGCTCTCCCCCTCCTCACGGGCCGCTGCTACCACCGCACCACCCTGGAGCTCCCTGCGATCCGCGCTCCCAGCGGCAGGACGGGGCGGACGGGGCCGGGTGCGGTGTGGGGCGGGCGGCGCGGCGCTCCCCGCTGCTGCAGCTCTGCCGCCCGCTGCCTCGCACCACACCGTGTAATGGCCGCCGCTCCTGACGTCACCGCCTCGGCTTCCACTACGGGGAGGAGGACGGAGACGCCGGAGGGGGGGAGTTAAGGGCGCATGCGTCGCCTCTGGGCTGGACCGCGCTTGCGCGTTGGGGAGGACCGGAGCAGCGGCGGGACGGGGCTGACGCGCGGCTGCGCATGCGCGGAGGCACAAAGCGGAGGGGCTCAGTGTCCGTGAGGGGATGGCGGGAGGTGGTTGTGTCCTCCTCTGAGGTGCGGGGTCCGCTGAGGGGCTGCCGGCTTCACCCGCCCCAGCACCGCGCTGGGCCGAGACCCAGTGGTCTTCTCAGCGGGGGTCCATCCGAGGGAGGCGGAGCGGCCCAGCCCGCAGCGCTGAGGCGGGAGGGAAGGGCGCTGCTGTGAGGGGTTGGTGGTTGGCTGCGGTGGTTCCCGCTCCTGCCCGGCAGAGCCGTTAGGGCAGCGAGGCGGTCGGTCCCCGTTGCACAGGGAGCAGGGACGGGGCAGAGCGCCCGGCTGCTGAGCGCTTGTTGGGTGTCTCTTGTGTTTGCAGTCGGTTCGCGGTGCTGGTGCTTCTCTGGGTATCCTGAGGAACATCACCGTGTTCCTCTGGGAACAGGGGAGCGGAGGGCGCTTGGTGGTGGTGGGTGCTTAGAAATAAATCTTTTCAGCTCGAGCATAAGCGTTAAATAATACCTGGTTTGTGCCACCGCGTAGTGCTGAGGTTAAAAAGGCTGTTGCGTTTTTTGTCTATGAGCCGTTTATACTGAAAGAGTTCTTGGAAGATTTGGGTTTATTATGACCCTTTAGGAGAGAAAGGTGCAGTGTAAGCTTTTAGCAAAATACAGGAAACTAAGAGTGGAGCTCAGCTCCTTTGGTGTACTCAGACATTGCTTTCTACCTAAAAGAAAAGATGTCAGAAAGAAAGAAAGAAGATGCAGTCAGAAGGAATGAAAGAAACAAGCATCTGTGATTTGTAACAGATTAAGTATTTTATAGCATTTGGTATCTTAAGTTACAGAGGTATTGGTCAAAGCAAAATTTCCCTTTAAATAACCTCCAAAAGATGATTTTGTAATTTAAAAACCCTACATTCTTTCACTTAAACAGCTCAGAATTTGGACAAAAGGTACCCTGTTGGTATTGCCCAATCCACAAAGGCTTTTCCTGGATAATAGGTGGCAGTTGTCTCAGGGTTTGCCCAATACAGGCTCTAGATTGTTAAATTCTTTGTGTACTGTTAAATCACCAATTATACAGTGAGCAAGAGGAAAAGAATGTTTGCTTTCCTAGGTCAGTCTCGGTTTCTTGGTGTCATACTCTCCCAGTCGACACCAGTTTGTTCAAATGACTTAATTCACGTGGTTTGGTTTTCTTCCAGGATGCTTTTGCTCTTTCTACATAAGTTTCCCTCTTCAGATACGCTTAGTTTTGTACTTAAAGTAGTAGAAGGTGAAGTTGTTACGCACTGAAAAATGGCAGGCTTCAAGCATTGCACACCTAAAGTAATCTTGAACAGATAAATGCAAAGAATATGAAGCAATAACATACTCTCTTGTGTAACTTGCCAAGCTAAAGTTTATTATCTTCAATAGCTGTTGACCTCCTGGCATAGTCAGATGTTTTCAGACCACATTTAGCTCTGTATTTCCCACACAGATAGTGAAATTCTTGATGAAACTTGTGTAGGTTACACCTTTGAAGTCCTCGTGGTGTTGGTATTACAGTTAATTATGCTTCTCTCTATGAAAAAATCCTCATTACTCTTAGTTTTTACTTATTTACCACAACTTTCAGAAAAATCTGGACCTACAACTTCACTACTCTTTGCTACTCTATTGCCTGCACCCATCTGTGTTTCTGGAATAGGAAATATGGAATAAGAGAGGAAAAACCTCCTCAGCATCAGGGAACTATTAATGTGGTTTATTCACTTGTGAAACTACAACCAGAGTCCTGTGATGTCTTATCTGCTAGGTGTGGGGAGAGCACAGCTACAGTGGATTAGACAGGGCTCCTTGTAGATGGCAGTAGTAATGACTGCTGTCTTCAGAGCACTTGTGGTGGTTCCCAAACTCACAAATGGCTCACAGGAGCAATGAGAAAAGCTCCTAAGAAAGGAGCCTTTTTTGCTTGAAAAGACTCAGTTATAGCTCTTCACTGGCAGGACAAACAGCGCTTTGGAAGGGGTAGGTGATTCAGTGCTCGCTGCTTGCAGCTGAAGCCATGCCATTGACTAGGGGAGAATTCAGGATTCAGTTATTTGGATGCTCACAGAGAAGGGGGAAGCTTTGGGTTCCATCTCCATGGCAAGCATTAGCTCTGTATTTTATCAGGTTGTTTTGAATAGTCTGTATGTGGATCAGAAAGCAGGTCTCATTCCTCCCTCCTACTTGAGAGCCATAATCAATAGCTTAGAGAACCATGACTGCTTTTCTCTTCTTTCTCAGATAGTTATCTGGGCCTTCAAAGGAGAACAAAATAATGACAGAATACCCATCGTGTTGCATAAGCTGGGGGATTGTCAGTGCCTCAGATACACAGTAAGATTGCATGGTGAGTTGTGAGATGGCAGTGATACCCCTTCACATTTAGTATGTGAAATACCCCAGGTTTTTGTGTGTGGCTTGTAACTAAGGAGATTGGCTGGGTGCGGTGATGAGTCAAGGGCAGCCCATGCTGCTCCACGCAGTCCCAGCACTTGAGTCAGTGATAAGTGTATGCATGGCATTCCTTAAAAAGGTGAACAATTCCAGCTCACCGCCCTGAAGTGCTGGAACACAGAGTTGGAAGGTTGTTCAGCTTCTTTGCAAAGCCACCTGTAGTGCCAACTAGTTGTGTAACGGGCTGAAGTGAGTCTGGAGCTCATTGATGAGTGTGTCAGCAATTGCAATAATCTTATCAGTTACTGTAGTAACAGCGTTTCCATTGCAGTGTAAGAGACAGCAGTCAGTGTTTAAACTCCAGATTCATATTGCTACATGAATGTAGTGTTGATTACACGTTGGAGAGTGAGGAACACATAAACTAGTTTTCTCAAACTTATCTATCTCCTTGAATGTTTTATGGGTTCTCAGTTACCTGTCAATGCATGTTTGCAATGTCTATTGCTGTAGTTGTTTAAGGGTAAAGGCAGATTTAAAAGGCTATATGATATTGTAATAATGAGTTGCCACCTTTTGATGCAGGGCTGGCTTCTTTGATGAGTAGATTTTTTTGGTGAGCAAAGAGTATAGGCGCTGATATTTCAGGGGAAAAGGGACTCTTCCTGATCAGACGTGGTCAGAAGCGTACAACATGTACCCTCTCCCATATTCAGATACTGAGACAAAATATTATACATTTTGTGTCTTAATAGTCCCATTAAGTCCGATAAATCCTGTGATCTGTAGCAGAACAACTGCAAAAGATGGGAGCTAGAAGCTATTTACGTCAGATACTAGTGTGTTGTATCAGCATGAGCAAGTATTTCTGTATCTTTGACTCATACCAGAGTCCAGATAGCGTGTGACAAAGCCACTGACATCATTAACACCACTATCAGGGGAAGCCTCCTCACTTCAACAGTTCAATTAACTGGCTTCTGCAATGGGTGGAATCTCATTATTAATCATCTTCTATACCACAAAACATGGTACTTGAAATTTGCTGGTTCATAGTTTGCTCTGGTGCTGTAGAGAAAGCAGAAGTGTGCAGTCTTGCTGAAAGAAATGGTTACAGACTGTGACAATCACATTTTCAAGTCGCTATGGATACAGATATTTCCTAGTCAAGACCCTTTAAAAAGCTAAGGAAAGGGGGCTCATTCACAAACAGTAGGATTTTAAGATTTTGCAGCTATTTGTGTTCTACTTTCTCGCCAGGAGTACTAAACACTCCTTTCAGCTTGTGCATTGTCACTGGCTCCAGTCACTGAAGTGGGTGCATCACTGAGCACCTGAGCTGTGTTCCTCCTCAGTCTGAAAGTGCTATGTTATCACCTCACAGTTCTAATCTTTAGAGCACTTGACAGGTCCTCCCACTGCCAGGACAAATGCTATCACTGTCATGGCCAAATAACCTAAATGTGAGGAAACAGATACTGAAGTTAATCAACTTTACAAACATGACAGGAGCATTTAGAGACCCCAGTTCAACAGATACTTAAATAGATGTTTAAATTCCTTTCTTTTAAACAAATAATGTAAATACCTGTGAAATACCCCTGCTAAGCTTGCTCTTGGAGGCTTTAGGCTTTCTGATTGCTGGGGTGGTGCTTTGATCACCTCCTGTTACAAGTACTTTCTATAGAAAAGCTCTCCTGTTGTTCAGTCCTTTCCATAAGCTACATTTAAACACCCAAATTATTAATACATACAAGCAGTTGTCATGGAGACAGTATTATGCAAAGTGGGGTTTTCTTAATAAGCGGCACAAAGTTGGCACATCCCACATGCCTTGTACAGACAATTCCTGCGGAATGTTTCCTGCGTTACACATGGGATAGATCCATTTCTTTGCTTTTCATGCCAGCATGCTCTGGAGAAACCACTCTTTCTGGCTTTCAGATGGCTGGCTTTAGGAATGTGAAAAATGTAGGAGCTGTAAGAGGTGTTGGGTTTAGTTCAGGTCATAAGATCTTAGCAAGGGGCCATACAGCTCATTTCTGTGAGCCCTCAAACACAACGTGACAGCTGAATTAGGGCTGAAACCACTGTGGGATATATTTTCTCTTCTCGTCTTGGTGTGTACACTTACAGCAAAATGCAGTAACTAATCCAAAAGGAGGCAGTTGGCTGATGTAGCTGGGGAGGCTGCAGGGCTGTAATGATGGTTGTTTTCACTGGAACAAAACTGCAATCCTATTAAATGCCTATAAATCCAAGAGGACCTGGTGCTGTACCTGCAGACTTAAGGGTATTAAACCTGAACTCTCTGAGATGTTTTGCCCATACTTGTCATAATACTTCTGCTTTTTAACTGTGCCCTTGCAAAGTAGCACACAGCACAGTTCATCTCATAAGTAGGACTCTTTCTACCTTTATTCTGTGCTTCCTTCTTTTGTCTTGTCCTGGAGATCCTGTTACACTTATGCCAGGCAGCACCTAACTGATGATGCGGACATTCTGTAGCCTATTTATTTGAGTGAATGGATGAGATTCTCTTTTTGTTATAGTTACTGCTTTCTCTTTTTTTTTCCCCACAGATACTCTTCAGTTAATGCTACATCACAGTTACTGTCATAATGACCTTCATCTGGGCCAGGCAACCAGAGAATAAAGTTACAGAAAGACTGCAAAAAGGATTGCAGCAAGAAAACATGAGGTAGTCCTTCCTCCCTTTGCTGCCAGGTAAATGTCTGTTTCCTTCATAGCACTGCCAGTATCTTGTAGAGAAGGAAGCATGAACCCACTGGGGCTGTACCCATGACTTTTAGAAGCATGTTAATACCGTACCCGTGTTGGTTTGGAGATGTCAGTTGTCTTGTGTGACAAACAGGTCCACAAAGCCTGCTAAAGATGGCTTGGCCAAACCACCACCAAGCCCAGCACCAGCTCTTGAGCTGGATTCCAAGCAGTGCTGTGTCCTGGCTGCTCCTTAAATGCTTCCTCCAAATAGAGAGACCAGGGAGGGAAGTTTCCTTTTGAAATCTATTTGTGTATGTGCTAAAGGACAAAGGAGATCCATGATCTAGTCACTGCACAGGCACACTTATTCTTAGATCATGATTTTGTTTCACTGTGCTTAACAAGTGTATTATTAGTAATAGCTGGTTACAAATAATAACCTGGCCTTATTTTTAACCTAATACTGCATTGGATTTCATTGCAATAGGTGGGTTCACTGCTGTGCTTTGCTCTTTGAGTATTATCTTTCAGAATTTCAGTGCCTTCCATCTTCAGCATTAAAAATAGGTGGCAAGTTGAGTAATTATTATCGCTCCAAATCTCATGTGCAGCCTTACATAACAGTGTTCTCACCAAAAGCCTGATTTTAAGGGTGGAGTGGAAGAACATGCTGCAGCAACCTGAAATTATTTGCTCTACTGTAGCAGGGTTATACAGAGCCCAGATAGAACTGTTTCTTCTGAGGAAGCTCTGAGAGCCAGTCTAATATTAATGAAAATAATAATGTGTGGAATGCCTCAGCTTTGGCATTATGTTGTCAGCACTCCTCAGTCCTGAGTAGAGGCCTTCTTGGCAATCCTCTGTTGCCCAAGCAGAAACTACCTGTCATGCCAACTCAGTGACAGTCCAAATACTTGTGAGTTTAGTAACAGTAAATATATAAACATGCAAAGTGAAATAACAGTGGCAAATTACTTGGAAAGAGACTATCCCCAGCTGGACAGAGCTACCCTTGATAAACATGAACTTCCTCATTAGTAACACTGTGTTCATAGGCAAAGTGCTGTCTGTTTTTACTAGCTAAGACTGTTTACCCTTCCAACCGTGAGCTGGGTTCCTTATGTCCATCATACTCATGTCACTTTGGAAGGACGAAAAACAGTTGGGAAGAGGCAGTGGTCAGTCCTGAGAACATCAGGTACCTTCTTTTAACTCTAACAAACTCTCAGCTCTCGTGGTGATCACAGTAACAACAAACCCTGATCTCTTCTATTTGCATAATATATTTTATTGTTTCATCTCCTGTTTCATTGCATGCTGTGACCTTCTTCCTTCATCGATGCATCAAAGCTGCATCATTCTTCCTGATTGCCATTTTTCTCTTCCATCCCTTTTCCTGTGCATAACTTCCTTTCCTCCCCCCTTTCAGCCTCATTGAATCAGATTTAGCCAAATGATCCACAACTGCTGATAAGCTCTGGCAATTGCATATAGAGGCTTTTCTTCCTGAGGTTGTGCATAGCATGAAAATAAAAACCACACTGTTATAAATTTTACTAATAAAAATCTTACATTTGGCAAAAGTGTGAGAAATGGCCATGAATGGACCTGTTAATTTCGCTGCTAGATGGTGATGCCAGAACTCTTGGCATTCTGCCTGGAGCTGGGATCTTACTGTCAGGGTCTAACTTCCTTTTTGATGTCTACAACATTAGTGATGGCTGCTGAGTGTGTTCCCTGGCACAGTAATGCTCTCCTCATGTTAGACCTAGAATGTGCACAGCCACTGCATCCTACAGATGCTGACCCTCAGCTGTTGGAGACTCAAGCCAACAGATTCTCCAAGTTTGTAGGCTTAAAGCTGGGCTCATGTTGTGAATGCTGAGTTCCAGCTGTGTTAGCTGAATCACTAACTGAATTTCACTCACAGGCAGTAACTGCATCTAAAAGTGTCGGTCTCTGTGTATTCCAAAGCATGAGCTAGTTCTAACCTTGCTGCCGTGGTACAGAGATTTACTCTAGGAGTACGTATCTAGCACAAACATGACGTTAATTTGTACACTTCACCAGTACTGGTTTTCCTCCTCAGATTACAAACTGAAAAGATCAATGAAATGATGACTTGTTTTTGTGAGATGAATGGGAACTCCATAATTAATGATACCAGGTATATTAGCAGAGAGAAGAACTAGTTTCAGAAGACTGTCATTAACTTGAGCAATTGGAATTGTTCAGTTCCATAATGGATGTGTATTTATTACAGCACTGCATGAGCGGAGAGGCGATGCAGGGTCTATTACAACAGTGGTGCACCTTATCTGCACAGAATGAGAGGCAGAAGTTTGCTGGCTTCACAAGGGAGCCTCTCCAGCATGGAACACTCTGGGACACTGCACAGCAAGTTTAATTCTGATTCATGTTTTACTATCAAAAATCACTTGTAAAACCCTGGCTCACCTCCCTCAAAGAGTGTTTATTTGGGAAGTGGCACCTTCCAGGCACTGAAGCTCTGATACAAATTGGCCTCAACAGAGTAAGTGTTAAACATCCCATTCTTGTGTTGTAGCTGTTCCCTGGTGAAGTCCCTCAATGTACGTTTTCATAAATTGCCCTCTCTGTCCTGACTGTAGTTATACTTCCCTTAAAAGGTATCTATTACATCAGAAAATCAATGCTATTCATTCTTGTAGTAGTCCAAAAAGCTTTACTGGTATAGCTACTGCTGCTCTATTTTTTGACAGTGTCCAATTGGAGGCAAATGTACCAAAATATGTCAAGACTTACTCATGTAGAGATAATATAGCAAGTGAAAGAATTTCCACCATAAAGGTGTGTACATTACAATAGCCTTGAGATAGGGCTGACTTCTTCCAAAACAAGTTCTTCTGGTTTTATGTGACTATTTAATATACTTTTGTGTTCAAGAAAAGAATTCTTGCTCTTACTCTGTACTAGGAAACCAGTATATCAGGAGGCACCATGGGCTGGGGAGCAGATCGGGAGACAGGAGGTGTCTCTTGTATATGTTTAAAGATCTTCAGGGCCATTTCAACTCCCACTTCCCCTTCTGTGCAGTGTTACAGCTGCTATTCATTTTACTAGTTCTATGAGCAGGTATTAAGCTGAAATATGAATTCTTCAAAGTCTAAGGGATCTTTAACAGAAAAGTCAGAACAATTAGGTAAAGAAACTCATTATTATGCCTGTGAATGAAAGAGCTTCTGGGCAGTGTCACTGAATGCAAATACTTGCATTTTGTTCATCTGATTTAAATATAAATGCTTTCTCCAGATCATCCAGGAAAAAGATATATATATATTCATTTTAGAGAGGCTGACTACTGACAGAGGGTATCTATACTGTGGCTTTTCAGTTACTTCATTTCTGTACTCTCTTCTGCTCAAAAAATAACCTGTTCAGTGATTTCAGACAGAAAGGCAGTTTCATTTATCCTGAAGCTGTGTCTATGATGAAGTCAGGAACACAGCACTGGACAGTAAGATTTCTAGGTGAGGTAGTGACAAATCATGTATCCTCTTGAAACTGGCGATACATATTTGTCAAGCAGGGGTGCTTCCAGCAGACTAGAGCTGCCTGTCAAGTGAAACCATGTATGCTGGCAGCTGAGTACAATAGGTGCATCCAGATCACTCCTGGTCCTCTTTTTTATGATGGGATAGTGAGTTGTGCTTTTTTGTTTTTGTAATTAAAGGGTGAGCAGATGGTGAGAACTTGAAGAGCTGCATCCATTAAATTAATGTTGAGAATGTCTCTACATTATAATTTAATATAATGGGATTTTCCTTCAGTGAAGTAAAACTACAGTGTAGTACTTGGGAATGTTTACTATAGAGAAGCTTCACTGGTAAAAGATTTCACTGACTCACGCTGTGACTTGCTGCCAAAAGGGTGTTTCTTCATGCCAGTATATTTCACATGCCACCCTAGAGTGAACCTTTTTTCAACTACACACCTCCAGATTTATGTAACACCAAAGGGGACAATGGAATCTGACTGCCTGTGTTATAAAAGAGTAGATAGTAACAAGCAGGAGCTGGCTGGGCTGGTATTGAGAACGGTGTAACACGGGTTGGGTTTGACATGATTTCAGAGGTGTATTTAAGGGAGACAATCCAGATCAAACATTGAGACTGTTAAAAACTCGGTGTTTTGTCAGTTCCAGGAGTTAAGGTGCTACTCGTTGGATGACAATTCCATAAGCGGAGAGAACAAACTTTCTTATTTTTCATGAGACAAGAGTTTTAGTGACACTGGTTAAAACAGAAGAAGAAAACCCAACAGCAGTGACATGACTTTTATCAGCAGCAGTGGACACTGGTAGGTTTTCCTACATCTCAGAAAATATACTCAACTATAAATATCTGAGTGAAACTTGCCGAAGCCACATTTTGGGAATCCTGTGTTTTATTCCTGGAATGGTTTTGAATGGTGGAAAGTTACAGCAAATGCTTTGTGCTGGTGATTCTGTACCCAGCTAGCTCCAGCTGTAGATACATAATACTGGTCTCCCACGCAGCTCCACCATGGCTGCAATCACACATTGTCTCCTGCATACAAAGGCTATTCCTCTAATAATCAGACACTGGGATAGGGATGAAATCATTATGGAAAATAGTACTAGAAAGAACACAAAGGCTCACAGTGGGCCCAAATGTCTCTGCTGCAAGCCTTCTGCCATCTAAATTACACCACAGATTAACCTGCCTCAATGGCTACAGAATGAGAAAACTAAAGGGATGAGCACACACACCATAGAAAAGTTTAAACTGCTCTTCCCTGCAGTGTAATCTGTGAAATCACTCTTACACTGTGTGGGAATAATTGGGAGGTCACAGAGGATTATGTGGGCATTTATGTTTCATTCTGGCTTAAGTGTGTTCAACTCCAGTGATAGCAACCAAATTGTTTCCATCTTCAGTAATGCTGCACTTGCTCCTAGGGCTGAATGCAGAAATAACAAGTTTATTAACTGCACATTTATCTCCCGCTGAGATCTCGGGTTTTCAAATTTCAGCATTCAGCTACTGAAACATCGTGTCAGAAGTGCTGAAGCTTCTGTGGAATTGAAGAATAGGATGTTAATAGTGTCAGAGTAGAACAAAGCCGAACGTTGCTCCAGCGGCAGCCAGGGAACCTGACACATAGCACTTAAGTCTTCACCTACCACTGCATGAGATAAAACCTCTCACTCCCTTGTCCCTGTTTCCCATTTTCTTCCCTCTACTTGTATAATCTCTTGCAGAAAGAATGGCTCCTGCACTGGCTGTTTCCCACTTCTCTATTTTAACTGTTAGCTTGTCCTTCCTCCCCTTCGGAAGGTGGGGACTTCTGGTTTGGAGAAACAGCCACACAGCTGAAGTAAAGCCCATGGTGCTACTGAGCAGTTTCTCCTTTGGCATCATATGCTCTTCAGACTGCAGCGGAGCCCATCCTAGGAGATAATTAGCAGCTATATTCAAGTGACTCAGGGGAGGATTCGAGCTCTGCATTTTGAGAGGCTGTTTGTGTATCTGATGTAATTTTGTCTCATCACAGTCTGCCTGAGCTTTCTGTGCAACGAAACAAAGGGGAGAATTAACCAATGAGTCCAAAATACTTACACTGGGAAAATAACTATTTTGTTTTAACAGCTGCTGAGACTTTTTCTCCATTGAGCCTAAAGAGCAGAGGTTTTAGAAGTCCAGCTTTCACTGTCAGTAACACCCTACAGCCACCAAGAAAGGAAGTCCATCTGAAGCACTTCAGAGTAATGCTTGATGTAAGTAAGGTGCTTTTGTCTAACACAGTCTCTGAAAGTCAGTCTTTTCACTTGGAAAATGCACTTCTGCAGTTAAGCAACTGTTTCAGGTTTCTTAAGCATTTATCCACATGTGCAGTAAAATACTTAATCATTTTAATAGTAATCCCTCTGCAGAAAATAATTAAAACCAGATAGAAACTGATGTCACAGAGCAGACCTTAGAGCTGTGGCATCTGGACATTTCTGCATTGGGAAGTTATTTCTTTTTTACTCATGGAAGCACCTTCTTTTTCCAGGGTTCTTCCAGCAGGGATGTTCCTGCTTGTGTCGGGATTTCCTCTTTCTGTGGTGTTATATTTGCTAACTCTACAGTATGGTGCATATAGACACATAATTCCTAATTTTGCAGGGGGAAAGCATAGAGCAGCAGAGATCAGTTGATTTTCTGACCACCCTTCTAAATCCTGGTAATTGTTTGTATCTGAACACTCTCTTATGGCGAAGGCAGCATATTGTAATAACTCCAGAATAGGATTTTCCATCAGTACCTCTCAGTGGGCTTTGCAAAGTCACTGTCACCTCACAGATGAGGAGTCTGATTTTCAGCAGTGAGATTATTTACCCTGGACCATTTTAGCTAGCAGCACAGCAAGGCAGGAACATGATCTAGAGAGCTCGAGGCTTGTGTCAAATCCAGTTGGCTATTTCAAATGGAAAATGTTTTATTATTTATTCCTGGAGGATTTGCTCTGCCTTTCACACCTTTTGGGGTGTTTTTTGAGCCCTATAGGTACTGTTTCTCTTTCTGGGATGTTCAAGGTATGTTCCTTCATCTCCTGAGCTGGGATGCAGAGAATGCAATCTGCGTTTCTGAGCTCTAGCCCTGAGCCAATCTGAGCTTTTCCTGGATTTGGTGGCTTTAAGTCCCCATTTCCCTACTTACCCAGAGCCCTCAAAATACATTTTTAGATAGGATTATAGGGGAAAAAGCATTAGGAGAGGAAGGGATTTTAAAAATAGCCTAGCATCTAAATCTCTTCCAACTGTCCCAGCATTTGAGCATCGGACAGGGGGCTGGTATCAATAAAGAGGAGCCCTGTGTAGGATGCACACTTCACAAATAATAATGAATTGAAAAGTGTTTGTTACACCCGGATGATGTCACTAAAGGTTTATCTATAGTAAATCTGCTTTCTTTGGAGGGTCAGTGGGGCTTTTTCACACCCACACCTGATAACCCATTAGGCAGCTGTGACAGTAGCTGTCAGGCTGCATTAATCCTGCCACAGCAGGGGCACAGCCCCCACGTTACCAGCCTGGCAGCAAGTCACTAGGCAGAGCAAGAGCAGGAAGGCTGCACTATCCTGAGGCTTCAGTTTAATAACCAATGCAAGACTAAATAGGAAGAAATTAAGTCGTGCCCAAGATGTCCAATTTGATGGTATGACTTTCTGTTTGGTGTTATCCAAACTTCTGTTCATATTTTATGTATTTTAATTGCTGAATAAGTAGTTACCATGGTATAAAGCCACATAATAAATATTTTAAACTTCCACACAAGAATAGTGCTCTTTATTTTCTACCATTTATTTTGTTAACATTCCAGGCTTTTCATAGCTTTCCAGTCCTTTGATAGTCCTACTATCTCACTTAGGGTGTCTGTATGTTTTTCCTAGCAATGTCAGTGACCACCTGGAAAATGCAACAGAGGAAAGCTCATGGAAAATCGTAAATATGGGACAATAAATAGGACGAGTTATTGCAATAATAAGTGGAATTTGCTTCCTAATTCCTATGATAAAAAGGTTTCTAGACCTCACCACTCATGAACTCCTCCAGTTTCTTTATTAGCTTTGCTGCTCAGCAGGATTCTTCAGCTACTTTACAGACACCTTGCAGTACCAGATGGTGCAGTGATCAAGCAGAAATTGCTTCTCCCCCAAAATACAGGCTGGACAAGAGAGCCCCAGAAAGGCTTTCCCACTAGCCCCAATAACACAGCTTCCATGTAACCCAAACTCCTACCAGTTCCAGTTAGACATGTGAAGCAGCAGTTCAGGTCGCTTCCACTAGGTATTTGTCTAATTCTGTCTCTTTTACTGCCTCTGCAGGTGATTTATCCTCAGTTCACCCCTGTGAACACCAGCAGTCAAGGTACTGCCTGATCTCTTCAATCACCCTGTAGTAACTCACTACTAATGAGTGACTGGTCATCGTGCTGCAGAGCATCCTCAGTCGGGCTGGTAACAGAAAACAGCAAAGGTAATCATCAAATACCTGTTAATTTCCTGTTAGGTTTTTAATTGGAATTTCTCTTCTCTAACAGATCTTCTTCCAGAAAGGCATGTTTGCATCTTTTCCCTAATCATACATGATTATGCAGATTCTTTGTATGTTACCTATGTATACTAATCCCAGTAGCATGGTATTAATTCACAACACAGTCAGTGAATTTAGACAGGGATATAGCAGAAATGTAACTAAAACATGACTACAATATGACAGCTATGCAATTACTACCCTTTTTTTCCCTTCAGATACTGACCAGGCCAAAATCACTATACGGGGTTCAGTTTGTAAGGCCAAGCTTGTGGTTTCACATCCTGGATGAAGCAGCCACCCTTTTCCCTGTGCCCCCCTCACTCTTCCCTTCCCAGGCTACTGTCTCAGTGATGCCACTGCATCTTAGTGAGGCTGTTGCGCAGGAAAATGATCCAAGTTCAAAATAACCATCTTGTGGGTTATTTTAGTCTGAATCAAATCCTTGCCTGGGTTCACTGCACAACCCTGCATGCAATTACGCCAGCACAGCTCAGGGAAAGATGTGGGACTAGAAACAAACAGCATGACTTTGGGCTGCACAGGGCAGAGCTGCTGCCAAAGGAAACATTAGTGGAGCTGTACAGAATATTTGTTTGGAAACAGTTTTAAAGTGAAGTTTCAGAACACTTGCAGATGAAACGTGTTTAATTGGTGGGATAAAAGGCTGCAGCCAAAGTTAAGTCTGGCTTCTAATTATACAGAGTAAACAGATACAAAATTAGGCTCTGTGAAGTCTAAATAGGTAATTTCACAGTTAATATTTAACTACTGGATATTTAACAATAAAAAGCATTAAATGGTTTTAAATCCTCATGCCTGGCATGCTGCTCACCAAGCTACAGCCTACAATCGCTGTAAAGGGGTTTCCTGGGCGATGGTGACCATGAACTCCAGCATCTCCTCACCCAGTGTGAACACACACCAAAAATGGCTTTTGCCTAAAATGTCCCTTCTCACTTTTTCACATTATTTCCATTGATGATGCTGGGGATGGGAACCTTGGGAAGCAGAGGTTGTTGAGAACCATACCCTGTAGAAATCTGTTGTTTAATGTTCAGCACACAGGAATAATGCCTTTTGTTCAAACTATACGTAATGTTTTTCATCTGGCAGCTGTTTTCCCTGTAAATGATAAAACATTAAAACCTGAACTAAAAATAATCCTGTTTGCTGTTCCAGTTCAGGAAATTTCTATCAGCCAAGTTTTGCTGTTGTTTTTTTACTGACTGTTATTCCCAGTATTCAACTCAGCAAGTGCTGACTCTACAATCAGAGCTGGTTTCATACAACCTTCATTTACTGTCTTTTGGCTTTGGAAATAATGACAAAACATCAGTTGGAACACTCAGCCCAGGGTTTTCTTATCATGCCTGGAATAAACCAGCAGATGATCATCTGTGAGAGAAGATAATTCCATAGCAATGCACAGACCCCAAAAGACGTCCCATATTCCCTAGCTGGAAGATCCTTTAGCAAGCTCGTAAGTTTTTGATGCTGGTGTCTAAAACCAGCTGTAAAATCCAAACACCATTAGATGGGAAAAGTAGGAAACTATCAACATGAGAAACCTCTGAGGATGCATCCTGCACCCCTTTCCCCTTATGTTGGAAATGCTTCTCCCTCAAAATCAACATTCATTTTTCCACTGCAGTGATGCTGATTAGATACAAGCCCATGAGCTCATCAAGAATGAGTGTGTTGTAAGAACAATTTTATCCTGCAATAAATACTTAATACTTTAAGTTCTCACCTTCCCAAATCCTGGGCCATTCTCACAGGCATTAAACCAAGCCCTTTTCATCTTTCAGTAATTCTACATCTTTGTTATTCCCACTGTACTTGGAAGGAGAGTTTAATCTTGTTTCTTGTAAGAATTTGGCTTTCATCTCTGGTGAGAATCTGATAGCAAAAGGTTATATTAAAGAATATGTTCTCTTAAAATTATATGCCAGCATCCAAAGTAAATCTGTTCTTTAACAACTCAGAGAGCCAAGTACCTCCTTATTAGTTCCAAGGATAATGCCAGTTGTATAGATTACAAACGGAGCTTGTCAGCAAAGATCACAAAGATAGTTTCAAGTTCTTTGCATCAGAAAATACCAACACTGTATCTGTATACAACACACCGTAGATACAGCACTCGTGTTCCTGCTCTGGGATTTCCGAGGGTGAAGGCAAACCCAGAGCTTGTAGAATAATCCTTGTTGGGAGTGGGTGCAGTGCTGAGATCTGTCCGGAGCGATGGGAGAAATCCCCTGGTTTCAGAAGGCTCCACAGCCTCACCTGCTGGCTGCTGTGCTCCCCACAGCTCCGAGGGCATGGAGAGAGAGCCTTTCAAAACAGTGCTTAATGCAGCATCGCACCGTGATGCCCCTCTTTGTGTCATAAAGAAAACTGATAAACGTTTTTCAGAAGTATTATATGAAGTGCTCGATGGAGGTTCTTGTAGAAATGTGGCCAAGCTGAGTGCGCAGCAAGTTAAAACTAGGCATTGCATTTCCTAAGCTGCCATAACCCATTGACCTCTTTTCGTACATTAGAAGGTGATAACCTTTACTTGCTGTTTGCATGGGGGAATTTGCTTTATTCAGCCTCTGTCTGAAGTTTTCTCTTCACTGTTCACTGGGTGATTTCTCCTTGCTCTGGAAAGGGCCACAATCCAGTGCTTTTCCATTATAACTTATGCCTCTTGAGCAGGCTCAGCACAGTGAACACTTGGCCAGTGGCTCTGAATCCACTCTTGTGTAGGAGAACATACAACTAATGTTTTGTGAGAGCTCATACAGAGCTGTAGGGATGTACAGGCTTTTGGGGACATATTCAGGCTCCTCTGAATATCTCGACTTCACACACAAATTGAGGACAGTTTACCAGTGTGTGCATAGTTATGAATTTATAGCTGTTCATATCATTGGGTTATTTGTAATTCCCATCATTTGGGTTATTAAGAAGCATCTTATCTAGTGGTATTTGGTGTCTGTTCTCGCATGCTCTCATAGTTTTCTGTCATTGCACCTCCTTCAGTAACATCTGGGATGTCTGGATCTTGTTCTGTTGCTCTGTAACCTAGTTCATGAGTTTTGGCTCATCTTGCTGAATTGGTGCAGCGGGTGGCTGGAAGGTGAGTTGTTATTTTAGCTCCCAGTTCTAGGGTAGGTAAGGGCCCCAGAGTCTTACCTAAATTATACAGGAGAACATACTCCCTTTAGGAGCACTCCACTGGCTGAGGACTGTCCCAAAATACTCCTCTCATTTGTTAGGGGTTATGAATGGACTATCAAGGTAGCTGTGGTAGCTATATAGCAACTCAGACCTTTTTCACCTCCCTTGCTGTCCCCTTCTCTCTACAGCCAACAATCCATCCCTGTATCTTTATTTCCAGTTTGCATTTGTGTGAGCTGCTGTACCCTTCTGTGGATGTCATTCACACACAGACAGAGCCTCAAGTGCTTACAGTCATGCAGTTTTTGAACACAGAATAGGAAACAGTGCCTGTCTGTGCAGTTTGTTAAAATAAAGGGCTCGGGTGTGAAAGGCAGGATCCCTATCCCAGTAAAACAGAGACATTCTTCCACAAGCAGGTTAGAAATGTGATTTTAGTGTTTAATTATTGCATGGTTGCGGTGATGTGAAGTATTTCCTGAGAATTTCTGCTTCTCTTCAATGGCTCTTCAATGAAAACCAGGAGCTTCTAACCTAAACAAGTCAATCAGATGTCTGAAATAGATGGAGTAGTGCCCCTTTAAATGCATAGGAAGACACTGGCTTCCTTGTGTCATGTCCTTGTTCTGAAAGAACATCCTCTGTCCCTCCATTTCCACTCTGCTTCCAGCTACCACAGCTGGGTGATGGTGGCCACTTCTGCAGTGGGACCTTTATAATGTCCCTTTATGCTGTCTGTCTGTGATTCATCTTTAGGGAAACCTAAAAGAAACCCAAATAAACACACTCAGACAAAATAAATCCTCCTGGAGTTTCTTAACATGTTTGTGACGGGATTTTGAAGGGTTACAAAGACTTCTGAGGAATGAGAGTAGCCAAATGGATAACTGCTTTCCCTTTCTTCTCTCATACATGTCAAAGCTCCATCTGGTTTCAAGTGTTAAACTTAATTGTCATAACTTAGCACCTGAAAATGCATCTGTAAATGAGTCAACCCATTGTCAGCAAAATCATTGAATCTGGAGATTTAAATGCATCTCCCACTGCAAGTGTCAGAGATATGGAAGGATATAAGAGAACCAGAGAGGGAAGGAGCAAACTCTCTCTAATGCTGTAATTCAGCTGCAGGAGGGAAGCTTGGCCCTTAGTCTTTCCTCTTCCCTGTCCCCCACAGCTGAACGAGATCCTTTATTTCCCTGCAGCAACTGGGAATTCTCCATTTCCAGGGAAAGAATGAGTCAGAAAAGCTGCTGCTGGTGACAGCTTCACTGGCCTTTGCTCAACAGAGGCTTCACCACTTGTGTTGGAGTGTTTGGCGTGTTAACAGTTGTTATAAGTGCCTGGTATCGCCACTACCATCCTGGCTTTGTAAAAGAGCTTTTTGCTTGCCATTTATTTTAAGACTTACTGAACAAGCTCTCTTTGTGGGAGACATTTTAGGTATGCTCTTAAAAATGAAATAGAGCAAGCTAGTAAAAATGAAAATGCATCTCAATTAGATTATTCTTCCTCCATCTGCTCTCTCGGATCTTTTGATGACAGGAAATTGCCTATTGGATTTTTTATTTTGCTTAATGGAAATGGCAAAACCTAAATCCATTCCCATTCCTCCTGACATCAGGAGAAAGGAGGTTTGATGTCTGAACAGAACTCTTTTTTTCAAAGCCATTAGTGTCTGCTACTGCCTCTCAGTGAATGCAGTAATTGTAGCATCAGTGAATTTAAATTAACTGAAATACTTACAAAACTGCAGCCTGGCACTGACACTCCTGAACCTCCCTTCTGAAATCCCCACTTCTTTAATTAGCCATTTCTGGTGTGCCTCATTCTTCATACATGGAATTAAACCCACCGAACTCCTCACATGAGTTAGGGCAACAGATTGCAACTGAATGGGGTTTCTAAAGGTAATGAGCTGGGGAAACCTGTTCCTTGCATTTTTAGGATGCTGGACTTCAGGAATTCAAACTCCTCCATCCAAAAGAGTGCTGTTTTCAAAACTGAAATGAATCCAATCCACTTCTGCATTCCTCCCTGTGCTTCCTCTCAGAGGAGGATGGATAAAAGCAGGTCCTTCCCGCTGACTCATTCTGCTCTATAAACTGGAGTTGAGGTTTGAGAATAAAGGCATTAGCCTGGCTTGTTAAAAAGCTATTTACCTGTGAGCTTGTAGTTCAGCACTGCCAGAATAACTACTGCAGTGTGCTGCTGTTGTGATTAGTAAGAATAATGGTAAACATACTTCACAGCATGAATGAGAGCATAGAGGCAGAATTATCACTCCTCTCTGCAATCCCAAACCTCCTCTGCAGTATTCTCTAATGGTAGGTGGAAATAAGAGAATTTTATAAAATACAGAATAAAATCTTTAGTGGGAATTAATTACATGCTTGGAAAAGCTTCCAAGTTGCTGTGTTGTCTGGTCCTTCTCCTGCCATCTCATCTCTTTGAATCACTTTTGGCCTGTCCTGCTGCTGACAGGCAGGGTATGGTGCAGGAATCTGTTCCTCTTCCACTCCTCACCCACATTAAGCAGTTGCTAATTGTATCGGGACATTGATGACTTTGGGAAATGAGGGCACTGTGTGCCTCACAGAGGCAAGTCTGGAGTTGCTGGAAGGTTTTTCTCAGTCCATGCTTCCATTCCTTGAGAACTTTGGAAGCAAACAGAACCTGCTTCTTATTAAACTGTTTCAGAGCGCGGTTTTGGTGAGGTTTATTTTTATTCCTTCCTTTGTTACACACCATGCTTTTCCCTGAGAATAATTTGTTAATACAAAGTGGAATTACTGAACTTTGTGATTTTGGTCTTGCTTAAACATTCGCTACCCCTGGTGAGGTTTATACAGATTACGTGGTTACATGATGGTACTGGGCTCCTGGAGTTAGAAGACCCCACACAGGGGAAATATATGTGGTTGTTTTGCTGTGTGGGGGGTGGCACCTGTAATTCAGCTGATATAGGAGAAGCAGTCTCCTGCATGTGAATCTCTGCACACAGTGCAACCTTAGCAAAGGAAAATACTCCTAGAAAAGCTAAATTAAAACGGTGACGTATAATGTGCCTAATACAAGGTCAAAGATACCGTTAGGCTCTGGTTCCAGATTCAGGGAAAGCAGAGCAAGGTTTATCTCTAAATACAGCACTGTTATTGTATAAACCAAACAGACAACTCATATTCATCTCTATGGCAGCCTGTGTTATTGCCAGGTAACCTGTGCCCATCGTCCCTGCAGGCATTTTCCATCCTGCTCCCATCAAAACTGGCCAGCGGTGCTGGCACTTGGCCCCTGTGGTGATTGGCGAGAAAGGTTGGCTGAAGAGCCCCTAAGGAGCAGCGCAAGAAAAGTTTGTGTTGGAAGGGACCCTAAAGCTCCTCCAGCTCCAACCCCTGCCACAAGCAGGGACACCTTCCACTGGAGCAGCTTGCTCCAAGCCCCTGTGTCCAACCTGGCCTTGAACACTGCCAGGGATGGGGCAGCCACAGCTTCTCTGGGCACCCTGTGCCAGCGCCTCAGCACCCTCACAGGGAAGAGCTTCTGCCTAAGAGCTCATCTCAGTCTCCCCTCTGGCAGGTTAAAGCCATTCCCCTTGGCCTGTCCCTGCAGGCCCTTGTCCAAAGCTTCTCTCCAGCTTACTTGTAGCCCTGTTAGGCGTTGAAAGCTGCACTAAGGTCTCCCCTTAAGGAGCCTTCCCTTCTCCAAGCCCACCTTCAAACCCGTGTCATTTAGAATGAAAACAGCAAACACGGCCCCACCTTCCTGAAATAAACGCGTGACCGGCGCGGCCGGGCGGGCTCCGGGCGTCTGCGTTATCGCACCGGGCCACGAGCGGTTAATGGTGCTTTGGAAAACAGCCCCGCCGGGCTCGGGGGCGGCCTCACCGGGGGCTGCGGAGGGGCAGCCCCCAAGATCCGGTGCTCGGTGCGGCCAGCGCTGCGCAGCGGACCCGGCGCGGCTCCGGAGGACAAAGCGGGCCGGGCACCGGGGCCGCCCTCAGCCCCGCGCCGGGAGCCCCACTTCCGCCTGTGCCGCTAGGCCCTACTGCCATGGCAACGGGCGGGGCGGTGCCGCGGTGACGTCAGACGCACGGGTGGGCGGGGCTCCGGCTCGCCTCGAAAGGGCGCTCCCCGGTGGCGGGCGCGGGCCGTGTTTGTGTCGGTTCTGCCCTCGGTAGCGGAGCCTTTGGTCCCAGGGAGCGAGGCCTCAGGTAACGGAGGGCGTTCAGCAGCGCCGGGCCGGTGAAAGGGGAGCTGGTGCCTCCGGAGGCGGAGCCGCGGTGTCCCTGCGCCGGTGTCTGCAGGAATGAATGAACACGTACATAAAGCGAGGGAATTAATGTGGATTCCTGAAGCAGGGGGGTCAGGGGCTCGGGAAGGTGGGGTTGGAGTCGGGGTACATGGAAATTACACCCTGAGTATGCTGTGGGGGTTCAGAGGCTGCCTCAAGCTCTGTGGGTTAAATCAGCTCCTGGATTCTCTTACTGTAGCTCTGCTTACATGCGCCTATATAGAACCTAAGGATGCAGTCATTTATTTCCACACGACCTGGTGGATTATCTTTGATCCCGCGTGGTTTGGGAAGAAGGATCCTCTCCTGAGGAGCAGCATAGCAGAGTTTACCCCTCCCACTCCCCTCATGTGCTCTTCAGTGGCTGCTGCAATGAATGACAACAAAACCCATTTCTAACAGGTGACTTGGCCTATTCATTTCCCTGATTTTGGAATCTTGGCTCTGCCTTCCAAGGTGTTCACTTCCCCACTCAGTTTGGTGTTATCTACAAACTTACCAGGGTGCACTTGATCCCATCATCCAGATCCCTTGAACAATGTTGGCCCCAGCGTTGATCCCTGGGGACTGCACCTGTGATGGGAGCATCGGTGGGATGTAAAGGAAAACGTGTGTGATGGGAGGGGGAAGATCCAGAAGAGAGGATCATTTGGTGGCAGCCGTTTCTCACTAGTGTGGGGAATGGTGTTTCATTGTGGGGGAATGAGTTTCTAATTGCCCAGCCTCGTGGAATAGCTTGGTCCCTGCAGGATCAGGATTATGTGTTCCTGCCCTCGTATCTCACTTTTAGCGTCTGAATATTGTCACTGAGGTGGGACGTAGCGTTAAGAGCGTTGAGAGCCCAAGTCCTCACAGCAGATCCCGACTGCCTGAGGCACCGATTCCAAGCAGTGCTGTCTGGTCAGGGGCTATCCCAGCAACCCGGCTGCAGCCTGTGCTTGGCACAGACTTCATCCGGGAGCAGTGAGACAAGCTTTGTGCTATATTAAACCCCAGCACACGGATTGCCGGCGGCAAGAGGATGAAGACGACGTTTATTTCTGTCCCTCCATTACAAGTCTCGTGGGGTTTTGACCTCCTTAAAATCGTCTCGGAGAGAAGCAAGGAGACACGTGGAATCGCGTCCAAAGCTCCACCGAGGAATCAGGCCATGGCTTCAGAGAGACCTGCCCCGTCTGCGGCGATAATGGGGCTAAAAACAGTGAAAATGATGCATTGCTTCCCGCTGCGCCCGGCAGCCTCCCATAGGAACCCGGTCCTGGAGCCGAGCGCCGCCTCTCCGCCTCTATGCGCGGAGGTAGCGCCTCCCCGCGCGCCGCGGTGGGCCGGCCCGGCTCCGGTTCCACTTCCCCCCCCCGCCGCGCCGCGCCATGGGCCGGCCCAGCGGCACGGCCCGGCCCGCCCTCCGCGGAGGGAGCCGCCATTGCGGGTTGTTTGTGCGGCTGGCGGAGGGAGGCGGCGCCGCGGCCGCGGACTCGTTCCCCGCGGCCATCATGTCTACCCCGGCGCGG